TGGTCAAAACACCAGAAACTTTCTAGCGGTTACAATAACCGCTAGAAAAACAAGTAGGGGAACTGCAATGAGACCAAATTTCTAGTGGTTATAAACCGCTAGAAATTAAAAAAAAATTTCTAGCGGTTAATGAGTTCTAAGCGAAATTTCCTTTTTTTGAGAAACAAAATTTTTTATTTTGGCACCAAAAATTTCTAGCAGTTACTAACCGCTAGAAAGTTCGAAGGAAATCAAATTTTGCCAGGAATCAAAATTTTGGAATTGGCGTCTAAAAATTTCTAGTAGTTAGGAACCGTTAGAAATGCAGCAGCAAATTTAGATTTTATGAAATTTGTCCCTCTTTTTTTCATTTTCTAGCGGTTTAGGAACTGCTAGAAAGTTTATTACAGGCGAAAAAAATAAATTGAGATATTTGATTATTAAAAAATATAATATTATAAATTTACAAAACCATTAAGTAGATTATATTAGAGAATTTTTGTTAATATGTATAATTACTAATGTATTACACGTTATACATTTGAATTTTGTAATAAATAATAAGTAATTAAGTTATGATTGTGTCAAATGAAGTGAATTTAATTTAATAAGATAGTTGAATTAAAGATGAAATAGTTTATAATATTGAACCTAAATTGTTATGTTGAGAAGTGCTTGAATTAGTTGAGGACGGTATGACAAATGTGGAGAAAAAAATCTGAAAGAAAAGGAGAAATAAATATGTTAGTAAATTATAAATAAAAACAAATAAAAAATATTAAGACTTATAAAATAAAAATCACCTTACCATATAATAAAGAGAAAAAAACCACCATATCAGAGAATAAGAAAAAAAGAGAGAATTATAAAGAAGAAGGAGAGAGAAAGAAAAAGAGATGGGGTAAATGAATGAAGAGGTGATGTGATATTTATAAAGATCAGCGAGACATTTGTAGCTTTTTTTTGCAGCGTTTTAATTCATTTTATAGCGTCCTTGCATTTTCTAGTGTATAATAAAACCGCTAGTATTTGTAGCAGTTTTACAATTTGTAGCGGTTATATAACCGCTACAAATTGTAATTTTTTACTTTTTAAAAAATTGGACCAATTTTAATTTATACATATTTATTTATGAAAGGCAAATTTTTTGAATGATAAAAATTTTTGAAACTACTATTCTTGATCATCATCCTGCCTGAAAGGAGATATTGAAAAACAATTATATTAGAATTATAATATATTTAGAAAAAAAATTAGTAATTAGTAGTTAATTATTTAAATAATTTAAGAAAAGACATGTACCAGATAATTGCCAAATTATCGTCTCCTTGAACAAAGAAGTTTTCGAAATTCGGGGGTTAGAAGGGTTCGCTATCGTAAATAATGTCACCATCACCCATATCATAAAGATCTCGTAACTTGAGGTGAACAATCATATTCCAATCTTTATGTTTCTCGTCCTCGACATAATAAACCTGATGTGCCACGGAAGCAAGAATATATGGCTCATCATCTTCAGATTCTCCAGTATGAATAAGTCTAGAGAAATTAACAGAAGTGATGCCCAAGTGGTCAGTAGTGAGTTCCCGTGAAGTTGTCATGTTTGCCCAGGAGCACTTGAACGAGTTACGGTGAAAAGCTGGTAACTCAACTCAATAATGTCAATTAGTTTTGCATAGTAAGTGATGCCTCCAAAGCGCATATCGCCGTCACTACTGCTAGCATAACATCTCGTCCCGAGTGTCCACAAACTCCAGAGTTTTGTGTGAGCAATCCCTGATCACGTCCAACCGTACAAAACTTGAAGCCATTGACATTATGCAAGGTAAACCTTCATGCATGGTCTAATGGACCAGGGGAAAGAGCTTTGAATTCACCTATGTATGGGACTGTTGTTATTATGTATTTGACGTGTAAACCAACCGGGAAACTGTTTGTGGACTCTTTTATCAATGTCAAGGGAACACACACGCCCCCGTAGCTGCTGCCTGAGGTAACTTCTAAACTCACTACAGTGAAGTGTAATTTGTTAGAAGAGTCAGTGAGAAACAAATATAAAATGTAGAAGTTAGTGAGCTTATATAATACTTACTGCATGAAGGGTTCAACTTGGCTGCAATTTATCAAAACATGTTTGTGTGCCTAGAGTTTCTCTGTGGGAGTGAGTATGAAGAATTCATATCGTCCAACTGGTTTCCTGACAGAAGGAAATAAAGCTGATGCGGAAGGACCAAGAGGAGAATCATCTACACGACGCGGATGGTTAAAAGATGTCTCAATGTCATCAAAGTATCTTAAACAGAAAGTTAGGACCTCATCTCTGGAATAACCTTCTGCTGTTGACCCCTCACACCACGCCTTATTCCTAACATATGATTTTGATTTTCCTAAGTACCTGCGGGTTAATATTCCATTAATAATTGCAAACAAATGAAATAATAATGTGAAATTTAAAAAGGCGGGGATAAAAGATAATCTAGTACCTCTCTATAAGGTACATCCATCGATAGTGAATTGGGCCAACAACCTTTGCTTCTAGAACAAGGTGGACAGTCAAGTGAGCCATAACAGTGAAGAATGATGGAGGAAATATCATCTCCAAGTGACAAAGTGTAAGAATTATTTTATTTTGCAGCTGATCAAGCTCTTTTACTATCAAGACCTTCACACACAACTTCTTGAAAAATGAACACAATTCCACCAAAACCACTGATACATCAGAAGGAAGTGTGTTTTTCAAGGCCAATGGAAGTAACTGTTGCATAAGAACATGGGAGTCATGACTTTTTAACCCAATAACCTTTCGAGCCTGCAGATCGATACACCTTGAGATGTTGCTAGAATATCCATCTGGTACTTTTATGTTTTCAGCGTCAAAAGGAAGATATCCTTGTTCTGCTTCGTGAAGGTGAATTTAGCTGGTTGAAACTTGTTGTTTTCATCAGGCTAAGCCTCTTCACAAATTCCCCAGGCCCGTAAATCTTTTCTAGTTGCAAGATGGTCTTTGGACTTTCAAGCTTTGTTAAGCAACATATATAGCACATTATTACACACATTTTTTTTCAATGTGCATAACATCCAAACTGTGTCGTAGCAAATTAGATTCCCAATAAGGAAGAGTGAAAAATATTTTTCTCTATCACCATTGCATAGGTTGTGCATCAGATGTCCCACGAGATCATCATCCTAGTCGTTCGGGATCCACATTTTTACTAAACTTGACATTAACATTTTCTAACTGCTGCAAAATATCCACATCAGACAAAGTAATAGGAGGATCTCTCTTCTCCTGTTTCCCATCAAAGCGAATCCGTTGCAATCTAAATCTGTGCTTGGAATCGAGGAACTGTCAATGTCCTATGAAGCACCACTTGCGACTATATGGAAGGCGACATGGCACGAAATCAAAATTGCACTCAGGACAGGGCAACCCAGTATGCATGTTCTAGTCAGATAAAGTTCCCAAACGGGAAAAATAACTTATTGTCCACATCAAAGCTGCACGAAGATTGAATAGTCACTTGTTATATGAGTCATATGCCTCAACACCATCGTCCACAGGTCAATCAATTTGTGTATCAACGGTTGCAAGTATACGTCTATATCATTTCTCGGTGCTTTCTTGTTAAGAATGATCATGGAAAGGAAAAAGAAGCTCTACTTCATGCACATCCAAAGTGGTAGATTGTATGGAATTAACACCATTGACCAGATACTGTAACTTATGCTCATGTTTCCGAAGGGATTGAAACCATCAATTGCCAACACAAGACGTACATTTTTAGGATCATTGGCAAAGTCTGGAAATTTTGTATCAAATATTTTCCACGCCTCTGAATCTTGTGGGTACCTTAACCTGCCATCTGGATTTTCCTCAGTCACATGCCATCTTATGTGCTGAGTCATTTTTTATGACATATACATTCTTTGCAATAACAATTTTAAAGGAAAGTATCGAAGGAAATAATGTATTAAAAACTAACATATGTTACCCCGCACGATGCGCGAGGAGATTATAATTGAAAATTTGTTATTTTTTATTGAAATTAATTGAAGAATCTCACGAATTGAAATTTTTTTTTACATCTCTAATTTGGTATACAAACAAATATTAAAATTATAATGAGAGCACACATTTCACATCGAAGTTTCATTTTTTTTGCCACGTTGAAGTTTCATGAATTATGTAAATTCTTAAAATCTCATTGTAAACAATATTTATTATAGTCTTAGAGTCAAGGTCATTTCATGAATAGATATCAAGGAGCATTTAAATCCATCTTCCCCCATTTTCATTTTGAAAATACTAAGGCTCGTTCCTACATAATACAATTAACGAATGAATCAAGAATAGATGTCAGAATGGACCAAATCACCAGCGCAAATACTCCTAGTGAAAATAAGTGCATAAGTGAAAGGCCCTTGTTACCTGTACTTCTCCACAATAATGAAGATTTAGAGAAGAGAACCCAAATCAAACTAACAACACAAGTATATTCAAGTATTAGCCTCAGTCAGCCAGAAATTCACATCAACGTAAATAGTTCAACCAACAATTTCAATTTGACCTTAAATACTCATCAACTTCAAAAAAATGTATATCATCAAATAGAAACCACAGTTCCTACAAGGACAGAAAACGGAATAATCTTGCTTTAATGTTTTATGTCGAATTATACCATCCCCGATCATTACTCTAATGGCTACTGAAGATGGGACATTTGGACCTATGTTGAAAAGCATATTGGTGAGGTTAGACATTATACTCTCATATCACAAGCACAACGGCCAAGAAAAATCTCACATAACAAAATGAGTTGAAATTGAAAATATTTGGAAAAAAAAAATCACATAATCCTGTCTCAACATACAGTATTTCCAATCAGAAAAACTAAAATGCTCAACCATATCTTTCAAAATACAACATAATCATGGGCACTAATTCATGTAATAAGGTAGTACAAGAATAACAAAGTCATACACAGCGTTAGTGAGTCCATAATTGGGATTTGAAGAAGAAATAGAGTAAACCAGAGAGATTATGATTCCTTTCTCATCTCAAATTCATTGTACACTAAGCCTCATATTCACTGACTTTTTCGGACCAGATTATTTATCAGTTGACTAACATGTGGCAAGCACAATGTGATTTTAAGTAATCCAAACCATATTCTCATATGTTCTTAATAATCCAAACAGCTGCAAACACACGCAAAATAAATTAACAAAGCTTTTCACAGAATGACCAATAGTCTAGAGAATAAGTTGCTTGGATATTAGTCGCGGAAAATGATGCTGGGAAAAGTTATTTCAGAATGTCTTGGAAAAATTGATGTTTGGTAAGCAAGTTCCACTTTCTTTCTTGCATTTTCCATTTCCTTGAACCCCAATCTTTTGCTCAATGTCCTCTATCAACTCTTCTCGCCATACATCTTCCATGCCTTTTGCTTTCATTTGTTCTTGCAGCACTATGCACAGCAAAAACACACACAATTTTGTCTGTAAGTATTTCAGATGTTCCTTTACAGACCATGCATGCATCAAGGACACAAGATTCTCAAGGAGAAAAGAAGTTTTAACATTATGTGAAAGATGACAATGACAACCATGAAACAAATGAAAGAAGGGAAAAAACCAACATAAAAGGAAAATGCAATGAGAACATGTTTTAAATGCTCAATAGTTAAATTAAAAATCACTATCTACAAATGTAGTATATTCAAGATTCAAGAGTTATAATAAAAAAAGGAATATATGCAAGTAAATTAAATGTTCAGTACATTCATTTATTTTTTTTAGTGAAGACTCAAAAACATTCATATATTAAATATGAAATTAATGTTAAACAAAATTAAAAGACAAGAGGCATAAAGTACAATCAGTAGAAAGCATATTTGAACCTACAATTTAACTTCAAGCAAACGATGATGATATTGCAACATTTTCCTACCCTGCACATTAGTTTCCTTTACATCCTCCTTAGTCAATTTTAGCATACCCCAAAGAGTGAAGCAAGTGAGAAGGTACACTCTACATTACAACTTTGAAAATCTAAGAAAACCATAAAACTAATCCTTTGAAAGCAGAAGAGCAACCAAAAAAGTGACCAGCAAGATGAAAGGTTATCTGTTATAGGAGTTCTTTCATATAGAAAGTTTTAGTTATGGTCAAATAAACCATTTGCATTCTTGTTGAAATGACGGAGAGTCAACTGCATCCAAGTCAAAACAAATCATGCACATGTTGTCATATGCATCAGTGGTCGAGTAAAAATCTAGTCCCAATAGGAGTCAGAGACATGGAGGTTAAAAAAACTCATTACTTTGTGAACATCTCTACAACATGAACATGAAGCTCTGAAATGACAAGTCAAAGATATCAGAATGCTCAATTTATAAGCAAGAAAATTAATGTTCAATTTAGCTGTGCTTTGCTGCCTTTATTTGTCTATGTAAAAAAATTTCTAGAATTGTTGCCTCCACCTTGACATAAGCCATAAATTAAAGACAAATTTTATTGATGAAAGACATGTAAAAATACATACAACAATATATAACCCTTAACCCACACATTAAAAAGCCTTCAAAGATACATAATAATATTAAGCTTCAATTAATGAAACTAAAGTATAGTTCCTATATATCAGCAAATCTGGGATTCCCAGATGAATGATTTAAATAATTAAATAATTAAATAAAATGTGATAGAATATGTACAGAAAAATATATATTGTAAAAAACTCAGAATGTAATGAAATAAAAAGGTTGGTAAAGAAGAAGCATTTTACCACAGATTGAAGGGCTGAGCAGATTCCAAACATATTGCCACCAAACTAAAGCAAGATTTGATTGAGAAACATGACATTGCTACCTTCATTTGCCTGTGTTGGAAAATTTCAAGCAATTGCTCCCTCTACCTTTACATAAGCATTAGCCTGAAACAAAGTATATTTCACTCAAGAAAATTTCCACCAATTGCTTAGTATATAGAATTGATTTTACAATATGAAGAAATGAGTCAAATGACTCAAACTTATGATTATAATTTTTAAAAAAATGATGTCTTTTAAAAGTGAATAAATTGCAGGAATGATCATTAATGATGAATGGGACGAAGAGATTTTTAATAAAAGTTGAACCATCCATATCATACTAATACTGTACATATTATTAATGATTTGCTTTTTCACAAAGTAGAGGAGCGAGAAGCATATAACTCAATTTTTTTTTTTTGGTCAAGAAGCATATAACTCAAATTGGAAACATAAGTATCCAGACTCACCACCAATGAATTACTCCCATAAGAAAAGTTGCCCAGAATAGAATCCAAAATTGAAGAACAAAAAATTTGAAGAACCAATAAGAAAACATGCTTTGGAGCGTGCATTCTTGGTTAAACTCAAAAAATCCATTTTATTAGCATTCAGGATAGAATATTGATTGTAATGAGGGAGAAAGGTAGTCAAAGAAAACTTGATACAAGGACTTATCTAGCTTTAAAGGTGCCTTCTTTCTCTGCCTCATCGGTTGCTCCCCACCCGCGTCTCCTCGCATGATAGCTATTTGCCCATTCATTTCTAAAACTGATAAAGCCAACTCCCCACTCGGGTCCTCACCTAACCATTAAAACCAAGACTAGAATCATCTAACAAAATAAGAAGACCAAAATCATCCACCTTCAACCCAGATGAAAGATACGGTTATAAAAGCAACCAAAAGGAAATCTGAAACAAAGACAAAAATGAAGAACATAACTTTTCCCACTTGCCCGTGTGAGATTCGATGGCAGAGGAGGGGGTTAGAGGCTTCAAAAACCTGAGATGGAACGCGCCATAGGGTATTCAAAATTTGAAAACCCTTGGATTAGAGAGATGAGAATGTGGGGCAGAGAAATTTGATCACAACGTTCTGCAATCTTTCTTTCGGGTTTGATGCTTGAAGGAGGGAAGACATTTGCTCAGTCAAATGAGTTTGAATTTTGAATTTGAATGGAATTGTCTCTCTAGGGACCGACCCAAAACGGAAATAGATTCTCTCTTGCCTCTAGAGTTGTTGGCCTCTTCTCCATTTGCATGTCTCTGCACCTGCAATTCAGCCTTCTACAGTTCTGCATCACTGCGACTCTGAATGCTGCTTCGCCCTCTTGTGTCCTTCTCATCTCCCATCTGCTTGGCTTCCCGCTGAAAACACTCGAAAAGGGCTTTAGTCTAAGCGAACTTTTTTTATTTATGTTCTTACAATCTCTCCTCTCCTCTCCGCCTCCGTTCCTTATTTTGGGTGTTGTGTATTTTTTTTTAAATGTTATTACACTTGAATTTTATAACTTATATTAACAATATTCTGAAAAGTTAATTATAAAAATTTCATAAGATGTTAGGGAATAATAAATTATTGTGCTAAGATTTTGTTTTTAAGAAAAGCTTATAAGGATATGAAATAATTAAAAAAATAATCTTCAACAAATTAACAGAATAATTTTTCCAATATTTTCTCTATTTTCTCAATATTTAAAATTAAAAAGTTGCAAATTAAAATTTTTATAAGATTATAGTGAATAATAAAAGATGGTGCTAAGTTTTGGTTTTTAAAAGATATGAAATAATTTGAAAAATAATCTTCAACAACATTATAAAAAATGCTGGTAAAAAAACAACCTTATAAAAAAATAATTTTTCCAGTCTTTCATTACTGTATATTTAGAAAAGGTAAGAAAGAGAAATATCTAGTTTTCAACAATAATTCTTGTCATGTATTTAAAATAAAGAAAAGAAAGTTACAAAGTAAAAATTTTACAAGTTTATGTTGAATAATAAAAGTTTCTGCTGAGTTTTTGTTCTCAAAAGAAACTTCAAGGGATATGGAATAATTTAAAAAATAATCTTCAAGAACCTTCAAAAAATAATTTTTTGATTTTTATTAATATAAATGTTTTAAAAAGATAAGAAGAAGAGAAAATATCTTATTTGTAACCATAATTCTTGTCTTGTATTTAAAATAAAGAAAAGAAAGTTTCAAAATAAAAATTTTATAAGATTATAGCGAATAAGAAAAGATGGTGTTAAGATTTTGTTTTTAAGAGAAACTTATCTATAATTTAAAAAATAATTTTCAGCAGCCTTAAAAATTAATATTTCTAGTTTATGCCTTTTAGAAATGTTCTTAATGTCTTTTATGACCAGATTTCTAAACCTATTAAAATAAAGTTGCACGCAGCCACTTAGGGTGTGTTTGGGTGACACCCCAAACCATGGTTTGGGGACCCAAACCATGGTTTGGGGAATAGATCACCCAAACACCCCCCTAAAAACCAAAACCATGGTTTTGACCATGGTTTTGACTCCAAAACCATGGTTTTGAAAAAAGCAAAATTTTTTTGCTTTTGGAGAAAAAAGGGAGAGTGTGAGAGCCTATATGATATCTATCTTGTTATTTTTTTTATAAATATATTTTTTTATAAACATATTCAATCTTATATTTTATAAATATATATACATATTAATTATTTATTAATTATATTATCTTATGTATTATTAATTATGTTGGTAAAAAATATATTATTAACAATTTTATTCCTTCAAATTAAAATATATCATAAAATCTATTTTTTTTGTAATTATCATATTAACTTATGTCTTTTTTTTAGTAATTTGTATATATAAAAAGTGCTTCTGATAACAACTATCCAAACACTCTCACTTCTCAGAATCACTTTTTTACAAAATCTATTCTTCACAGAATCTATTCTCCCCAAAATCTATTCTCCAGAATCACTTTTTCAAACCACGGTTTGGTTTCATCCAAACACACCCTTAATTGAGCCACATAGCACGAAGCCCGAGAATCCTAAATGCAAGCCATACATAATTTATGATGGATTGTGAACAGTAATTTAGTGAGGAGCCAAGAGTAAGCTTTTTTTAAAAGTGGCTTGGTGGAAGAGTTTTAATATATATATTGATTTCAAATATCGAATATTTAAAGATTAAACAAGTAACACATTATAATCAATTGTATTAAGAATTTCAAATATCATATATTTAGAGACGGAACAAGTAACACATTATAATAAATTCCCCTTCCGTACCGACTTATAGCGAGACGTCTTACATCTTGTACAAATCTCCTTGTTTGCATCATCTTCCCAGTACAACATACAGTCATTTAGGCATGTATCTATTTTCTTGTAGTTCAAGCCAAGCTTGTTAATAATCTTCTTTGCTTCATAAAAAAATGGAGGGAATTCAGCTTGAGGGAAAGCATCGCCTAGTAATTCCAATAGCATGGACATCGCCTTGTCAGTCATACCACACAAGCATTTGATATGATACAACCTCACCAAGAATGACAACTTAGAATACTTTATTCACCCAGAATAAAGAGGCTTGTTAGCTTCGCTTATGAGGTCAAAAAATTCCTAAGTAGTTTCATTTCTAAGAAACTCTGGTTGAGGCCCCTCTACTTCCTCTTTGTTGGGATCCTCACTTTCGCAAACGCCAAAAGCATCATGCATAGCATCGTTCACGGCATCGGCTTCATCCACTTGAACTCCCATCCGTGAAACTACTGAAATTGACTTAGCAACCATATCTGGTCCTTCCCCATGTAGTTGCCAAAATATATACTCTCTCGAGAAGGGCTTAAAGATCAAATGTTCTCTAACAATATCTCTGGGATGTCACTTCTTGAAATTACATTTAGGACATGGACACTGAATCTTACCATTTACGGCGGTATTGGCAAAAGCAAAATCCATGAACTAGTTTAGACCAGCCAAGTCTTGCGGAGTCGATCGGTACAAGTTGATCCACAACCTATCCATCACTAATGTTGCTCAAATTTCGTGAACATATAACATAAAAAGCTCAAAGAGAAGTTAAAATGAATTTCAGATGGAGTTCTTCAGCTTATAAAGGAGACTGCCAACGGATATATAAGGGTTAAATTTTTGTAGCGTTTCTAAACTACTAGAAATTTCTAGCCGTTTTAACAGTTAGAAATTTCAATTCAAAAGCATTTTCTAGCGGTTATAGATTTTCTAGTGGTTTTAAACCGTTAGAAGTTACGAGCTGGGAGGAAATTTTGAATATAACAACAGTTATCCATTTTCTAGTAGTATATAACCGCTAGAAATTTTTTGCCAATGGTTATTTATTTTCTAGCGGTTACTAGAAAGTTCGACGAAGGAGGGAAATTTAAATTTCCCGTGAACGTTCTAGCGGTTAATTAACTGCTAGAAATTGTTATATTTTTTAGTTTTGTCGTGGTTTATAGCTATTAGAAAATGTTCGTTAGAATAAATTAATATTCATTAAATTAAATTTTACAAAAATATTAAAATAATAAATAGGTATTAAAAGGTTTCAATAATATATGTATGCATAAAATTTAAAAAATTTCATGATATGTTAAATATTAAAATACATATTCCAAGAATGAATTTTAATGTTAAAAGAATTTATGTTTAGCATGTTTTATGTAGTTAAACAATATATTAATTAATATTTGATATTAATAAAATTATCAAAATAAATAATAAAAGTAAACAAATAAACATAAAATTTAAATAAATATCCACATAAAACATAAGATAATAAAGTCCAAATCCAAATAAAATCCTACACAAGGAAAACAGGGAAAATCAAGGGCGAGGGGCAGAAGCAGCATCATTGTGATCATCGGGCACTGGATCCTCCTGCTGGTTCTGCTGGGGGTGGGCAGGTTGCTGATTATGTTGGGGCTAGACTGGTTGCTGGTTGTGTAGGGGCAGGACTGGTGGCAGGCGTACGTTAGGGATCTCGGGAATCAGAATGTTTGAAGGGATAATGATCACCACATCACACATGGCCATAGAAGCTGCCTTCAACTGGTCAAGCTGTACCTGGAATTGACGATCACGCTCTTCTATCTCTCCCCTGATCTCCTGTCGCAACTCGTCTGAGGATGAGGAACCCGACCGCTTCGCTCCTGTGCTCGCTTGAGAGCTCCCTGCAGCGTATGAAGGGCTAGTACAAACCAAACGGGGCAACTTAGTTAGT